TGGCGCTAGCCCTGCTTGCTTGCTAAGTGCGTTGGCGCTAGCCCTGCTTGCTTGCTAAGTGCGTTGGCGCTAGCCCTGCTTGCTTGCTAACTGCTTTCTATAATCCTGGTATATTTTTTCCACTGGTTTTTGTGTCAATTTACATGCTTGTCAGACTGCCACGTGAGCATCATTGAAGGTGAGTTTGCAGCCCTGTAATGTGACTCCTTCTAGTGGCTGTGTGTCCGCAGGGCGAGGTGGTCCTGTTCTGCGGCAAGACGTGCTCCGAGGAGTTCAAGAAGGTCAACTTCATCATGGCGCGCTGCGAGTACTGTAAGATTGACAAGGTGGTGAAGGAGGTGAAGAGGATTAACCAGCACGACTGCTCCTTCTGCAGCGAGGGTGAGCCGGGGGCCCCGCGGGCACGCCTTCACGCAGGGATGTCGTCTTGCGTCCGTGCTCTTCATATTCATGCCCAGCACGTCGCCTCCCTTAGGCTGCAAGCTGCTCTACAAGCACGACATGGCCAAGCGATGGGGAAAGCACTGTCACGCCTGCGCCTACTGCGGCAACATGACTCACCGCGTCGTGCACAACCACTTTGCCGGCAAGCTGGAGGAGTTCTGTGGCGACATCTGCATGTCTCAGTACACCGTTCTCTTCTACCAGGTCAGAGCCAGCCCGGTCCAGCGGGCTGCGACCCCACACACATCACCGGTGTTCGTCCACTTGCAGTGAAGTTTAGGTCTGATGAACCTGTCTTATGGCATGTTGATAGTCCGGGAACAGTTCGGAATTCAGTGTTTAGTGACCGAATGTGCATCACCATCGCACCGCAATATGGGACGTCCTTAGCTGGACCATCTTGAAGGAGCGTCCGTGTTCTGAATGTCCTGCACAATAGGTGCCCCTCAAATGCTCACATACACCGCTGACCTGGAGTCCTCATCTGCGTGGAAACGAGTGCTGTTGGCCAGTGCCGTGTCCCGCCTACACCCACGAGCTGCCCCCCCCCCCCCTACAGATGTCCAAGTGCGATGCGTGCCGGCGTCAGGGCAAGCTGATCGAGTCGCTGCGCTGGATGGGTGAGATGAAGCATTTCTGCAACCTGCAGTGCCTGCTGCACTTCTGCAGCCAGAGGACTCCCGCAGTGCCGCCTGCCACCGGCGGCGTCGTGGTGTCTGCGCCGTTGCCGGGTACATGGGGGTCGCCGGGGAGGGTCGGCTGTAGACACAGAGGGCTGCTGCAGTGTCCAGCAGCACTCGTGCTCCGCTCTGCTCTCCATCTGCTCACTTGCTCCCCCTCCCCTCACTGCAGTCGCTGCCCCCGCTGCCCCACCGCCTCCCTCCACCACTGCGTCCACAGCGACCCGCCTGTCTCCTGTGCCCCCGACTGAGGCCACGCCCATCATCGCCAACGTGGTGTCGTTGGCTAGCGTGCCAGCCGGGCAGCCGAACCCCTATGCCAACACCGCTCTGCAAGGTGACTGTCGTGCGAACAGGAAGTGCGAATGGTCGTGTGATCGTGAGCAGGGCCGTCTGCATGTCGGGGGAGGGGGGACTTGGAGTCGAGGGCAGCAGTTCTCATCTCTCCTCATTCGTTTCTGATCTTGTCGGCTTTTTGCCTTTTTTCAGGAGCGGTTCCCACGACGCAGGCTAAGGTCACCGAACACGTAAGTGTGTGCGTGTGCGCGTGTGCGCGCGTGTAAATCGGCCTTATTAAGGGGTCACTCATGCTGCCCGTCCTCGTCGCCAGGCCAGTACGCAGACCGATGCCCTGCGGCCCCCCCCAGTGGCCCCCGTCCGTTTGCTGAAGAACAAGGCGTTGCTGTGCAAACCCATGAGCCAGAACAAGGGCACCTCATGCAAACCTCACACGCAGACTGCCGAGACGCAGACAGGTATGTGCCGTCGGCTGCCAGCAGGGGGCGCTGTGCTCTCTACGCGGCTGTCCGTCTGCTCTGATCAGCCTTTCTGTGCCCCACCTACAGACGAGGTGGAGCCCAAGGTGATCATCCTACCCGTGCCTGTTCCTGTGCCCATGTTTGTGCCCATCCCGCTGCACCTCTACAGCCAGTACACGCCCTTTCCTCTGGGCCTGCCCATCCCGGTACGCTGGCCCCCTCCCCAATGGATCCTGCTGCTTTTGGGCCGTTTGCCCCCCTGCTGATCCCGAGTGCCCCTTTTCCCCCCTACCCCAGCTGCCGGTGCCCATGATTCTGCCCACGACGCTGGACAGCGCTGAGCGCATCATGGAGACCATCCAGGGCATCAAGGATAAGATCCCATCCGACCCATACGAGGCCGACATCATCCTCATGGCTGACATGGTCGCCCAGGAGGAGGGCCAGGAAGTGGGGAAGAAGCCGGTCTCCCATGGAGGTGAGGAAGAGCAGGAGGTGCAGCGAGGTTAGGGTCAATTCATACTTTTCAGCATGTGCTTTCAGATGCAGACGAGGGGTGACGTAAATTTCATCATCGGGGTTGGCTGTGGACACTGATGGTTGACCACATGTGCATGATGATTGATTAGGTATTTCCAGTAGGTGGTAGCGTGGACTTTCACAAATCAGCAGTCAACGAGTAGTTGAGTAGTAGTAGTAGTTGTAGTAGTTATGGTGAACAGCTGTATGAGGAGGGTCACAGGTACGTGTGTATCTAATTTTTCATACTGTCCAGGTATTATTCTAAAAAGCAGTACTGCTCTGGCATGTTTAAATCTTGGCGATAAAATTCTCCAAGCAAGTGTGTGTGGTGGTGGTGGGGGGGGGGGGTCCTCAGTTTATTTTGTTTTAATCCTCTGGAGTCGACGGCATCGTCGGTGATGCCGAGTATCTTTCTTGTCTATTTCACTTCATAACTCGCTGAAATCTTATTATAGAAACATGAAAAAAACGCTGACTAAATCCGTATTCTGTCTTCTTTTCAAAACGTCCATTGTCGGAAGTATTAAAGTTTTTAAAATTAGGTTAAATCGGCAAAAAAGTAAACCATGTCATCTTACTTTGTTTTACCTGCATCGGGGGCGTGTAGTGCCGCTCTCACCCGAAGATCGTTATTCACATTCTAAATGGCTGCATTAGCGCGTATTCAAATCGCATTCGCATGGTAATTTGGTCAACAACACAGCGGTGAAACGCGATCCAGATACATCCCCATCAGCGCCATAAAAGGGGGGGGGGGGATGTGGCCAGGTGTCGATGGCTCATTCATACACATGAAAGGAGCCAGAAATAGTGACATGAGTTCGGTTTTTCTTATTTATCCAACTGAATGTTGCAACTATATCATTTAGTCATCTTCATGTAGCCAAGACTTTGCTGATCAGATATCTGGGATCAAAACAAACTGCCAGCATTGCTTACTATGTACTTTTATAATGTGTCTGCAGTTGTCCCAAACTGCATTTTGCAATGTCAAATTACAAACTTAACATAAATCTGCCATATTTACAAAGTACACTAAGATAAAGATGAGTTTAATGCCAAAACAAATATATAAGAAATAATTTATTTGCCATGAATTAAGGTAATGAAATGTGTGACCATGCCCCAGTCAGTGAAAGTCTGTTCCCTACCCCTAGACTCCAAAGGGTAAGTACTGTCCAAGCCTTGACTGATTACTTCACAAATGTTCGTAAACCATTTCACTACACTGCTTGTTTTGGAGCTTGTTGCAATACATCTGCCCTCTGCTGGTGTGGTGGAGTATCTCTTCTGTATGCAGCACCGAGCGCGACCCATTGCAACCTAATGCAGCATTAACATCCAAAGCCCGAGTGCACGCAGAAAAATAAAGTATGAGCTGGCCTTTAGGGTTATGTTGAGGTGTGTGTGTGAGAGGGAGAGAGAGAGAGAGTCTGCTCTGAGGTCACTAACGCATCGCTGTCACTGTTGTTCCCCCCCAGACCAGGTCAACACCTACAGTGGGGAACTGGAGTCCGAGGCCGTGTCCCCCCTACACAGCTGGGAGGATGAGTCTGTACCGCCCCCCCTGGCTCCTGCTCCCCCTGCTCCTGCACCCCCTGCTGAGCCCTCCTTCAGCCCAATGCTCGATCTGGAGGCTGACTTCCCCACCCGTAAGGAGACCTCCCGCAGAATCAGTGCTTCCTGTACTTTTGCACTCATAGATCTGTAATGGTCTTCATTGCATGATCCCGTTAGTGAGTGGTCTTCCCAGTCATCTCGGCACCACTTCCCCACTCCCGCAGACACTTTGGTGTGCGAGACAATAACAACAACAACAAATTTTATTTTTGTATAGCGCATTATCACAACATTACATCGTCTCAAAGCGCTTTACAGCATCCCCACCCAAAGCCCCCAGTGAGTAAGCCATAGGCGACAGTGGCAAGGAAAAACTCCCTAGAAGGAAGAAACCTTGGGAGGGACCAGACTCAAAGGGGGAGCCCATCCTCCAGGGGCCGGCAGGGAGAGTCAAATACAGTTAAATCTAAATAACTGTTTGATGGATCTTTTTCAAACTTTGGACAGGCATTGCTTGGCTGAGGAACTGAAACTGATAAAATGTTGAGAGAGCTCATCCCCGAATTAAAGCAGCCCCACATAGTGATGCAAAAATAAGGGTAGTTGTTGCACTTTATCCCATTAAGGCAATAACTCAGTAACTGCTTGATGGAGCCTTGCAGAGGCATTGCAGGGACGGAGGTATGGAACTGATAACATTCTGAGACTGACTGCCCCTCATTATAACTATTTGTTGGCATCATATAATGTGTTCACATTATTTTTAATATTTCTGAAAGTTGCAATTTTGAAATAGATCTGCCCCCAGCTCAAACCCCACCCCTCGCACTGTCCTGCTTTTTTCCCCTCACCTGCACCAGTCTGAATACCTCTGGTATATGGAGTGAATATTGGTTAGGTGGGACAGAGGGTAAACTGGGATTTTTGATACTCTATATCTTTATGCCTCTGAGATCGATTAACTTAAGCTCACTTATTGCGCTTGCAATATTGTTTTTATGTTTTAAAATTTAGAATTAGGATCTTATTTTTAAAGCGAGAAAGTAAAATTTAAAAAATTGTTCCAGTTTACAAATAATCCACCTCACCGTTAGTGTGTCTGTTGCAGTTCTTACATTTATGTCACAAGAAATTTTGGTCATAGTGCAAAAGAGAAATAGAATATAAATATTTAAACATAAGTGGTGGGGAAATATTGTGCAAATTGTCATTTAAGCGGAATCTGCAATAAATAGCCTGTATTTGGTGACATGGACTTGGGTAAAAACACCTTTATTGACTTTTTTGCATTTCCAGGTGATCCATTCAGTCATCTAGAAATTTCCTGCTTTGCCTACCGCTCGCCTCAGTTGTTAAGAATATTATCTGTCCAAGTAGGTTTCCCTATTACAGCCCCTTTGTTTATCTTTGCCAGAGTCATTCGATCCCTTGCTGGCGAAGGGGCGGGGTTCGATAGCCACCAGGCACAGAGGTCGCAGGAGACCCCGGGAAGGTTTCCCTCCTCGCAAACGGGTAGGGGTTCCGTCCTCACTGACTGCTTCTCCCTCCTCCTGGTAGTCTGTCCCCGACAGGCACGTGTATGTGAACGTCCTTATCCATGCCCTGCAGGGACGCAAGCGTGCGGCCGCTGTGGTGGGGGCCGATGTGTCTCGCAAAGCGATGCCACCTGATAGCGGTTCAAAGCTATTGCACATGTATGGGGTTAATGCCTGGAGGGCATGGGTCCAGTGGAGGAACCAGCAGCCTGACTTGGAAAAGCCCAAATTCGGCAGTGAGTCTCTCTATCATTCCATTTCATATTTCTGCCTTCCCTTTTTAATTCATGCGAAATGCCGATTTGACTATTTACATGGCTTGGTCTGCTGGAGTTTAACTCCAGTTTGTGGTGCTCAGTTTAAACCTGTGTGTGTGTGTGTGTGTGTGTGTGTGTGTGTGTGTGCGCTGCCCCCAGCTCGCACCACGGTGCTGAAGGAGGATGTGCTGCAGTGCAGCACAACAGAGCTCAGCTTTGGCCTGTGCCGCTTCATCAGTGAGGTGCGCCGCCCTGGTGGACAGCCGTATAGCCCCGACAGCATATTCTACCTCTGCCTGGGTCTCCAGCAGGTATCACCTGGGACGTGCCGTGCGTGTATCTGTGTGTGAGTGCGTGCCTGTCTTCATGTTCATGAACTTGCAGTCATCTGACAGTCTCTCTCCTTGTCGCCCTCAGTACCTGTTTGAAAATGGGCGCATGGAGAACATCTTCACGGATGTGTTCTACAGCAAATTCATCCTGGAGATCACGAAGATGCTGAGAGACTGGAGACCCACCATCCTTCCCAGCGGTGAGACTCCCAGACACGCACACACACGGTTGCTGAAAAACTTACTTGGCTTTCAGTAATGGAAATGTAGCGGTGTGCTCGCTGTGAACGTAGCCGTGAATGCAGTCTCCCCTCGGCTCCGTGCCCCCAGGCTACGTGCACTCGCGTGTGGAGGAGGAGTACCTGTGGGAGTGCAAGCAGCTGGGTGCGTACTCGCCCATCGTGCTGCTCAACACGCTGCTCTTCTTCAGCACCAAGCTCTTCCGTCTGAAAAATCTGGCCCAGCATGGCCGCCTCTCCTTCGCCAGCGTTGTGCGCTGCACCCGCACCCTTAAGAACAACAGCAAGCGCAACTTCCTGCGCTTCTACCCACCGGTGCCCAGAAAGGACGGAGACAGCACAGGTGCGTGTGCGCGCGTTTGTGTGCGTTTGTCTCATGGGAGCTTTACTTACACAAAAATGTTATGAGGGCAGAATGAAAAATGAATGGTTCAGAGTGATAACCAATCAGATTGTAGAAGAGGTAGGTCCAAACAACTGGAGGTGATGAAACCAATCAGATGTCCTGCTCCCACCTCCTCTAGTTGCTTGGACCTACCTCCTCTACAATCTGATTGGTTATCACTTTGAACCATTCATTCTGTCCTCATAACATGTTTAAGAATCAGTCCCAGGAGCGATGTAGTGTGTCTGAGAATGATGGTATGTCGTGTTTTATGGACATACATAAGTGTAAGTGGTCCTAATGAATAATTACCCCATCAGGTAATTGTGTAAGTAAAACTCCAATGTGTTTGTGTATGCGTCCGCACATATGTGTTTTGCGTGTGTGCTGTGTATTTGTGTCTGTGCGTGCGTGTGCTCGCACTGTGTGCGCCCTCTTACGTGTTAACTTGCACATGGAACTCCTGCAGACAAGGCGGTTCAAGGAAAGAGGAAGATGGAGGATGAGGAGGAAGAGGACGTGATGGAGATGCCGGAAAACACGGAGAACCCTCTGCGATGTCCTGTCAGGCTCTATGAATTCTACCTCTCCAAGTGGTGAGTGGGCCTCTCTCGCTCCCGCCGCTTCCTCTCTGCCATGCGGGCCACTGGATAAATGCATTCCTTAGGACTGTGGCCCAAGTGTCTACGTTATAGCTGCCTTATACTACGGGACCGTTGAATGCTTGAATCTGATTGGCTGACGAACGTTCTGAGGTGTGCAATTATTTTCAGGGAAACGCACGGCGAACGTAGTTCCAGGCAGCTCTCTTGACCATATTACAGTTCCATATCACTTCGCATAGTTAACTTTAATAACGGAAATTAGCATACAGTACCTATACAGCACACAGGACTAACAAAAACAACAACATGACAGACGATTTTCCGAAAGTAAATTTTAATATTTACGGTGAATATGAAACTTTCAACAACTGGGCTGCAGCAGTATTAGACAGTCCAGATGAAAAACAACATAAACGGAAGTGGACATCAAAGGCAGCCAGCAACAACAAAAGACATAAAACGATCAGCGAAGAACAGCTAGACATACTCGAGGGAGAAAAACACGAAGAAAACACCAAAAAAACAACAGCTAATGACGTTTTGGAACTAGCAAAAGAGTCGTTGGATGAGATGCGGAAGAAATAATCCTACTCACAATAGCGATTTAAGTAGAAAAACCGGACGAATCCCTTGAAATATATCATCTGATCGATGTCTTGAGGTGTGGCAACCGTAGTATAAGCGGAATAATTGACTCCGGACCGTTGAATTATTAGAAAAATAATGCACACCCGAGGTGTAACGGCCACTCCGCTTCGCGTCATGGCCGCATTACCACCTCGGGTGTGCATTATTTTTCTAATAATTCAACGGCCCGTCGTCAATTATTCCTTACTTAATTCAGTCTCCCTCTCTGGCTCAAATTTAGAATTTGGCTAAAACGCAGTACGTGCCTCACAATTATCACATAATACTATCACTTTAGTCAAATTTACTTAGACTTCCATATGGTTTTTTGCAATGTAAAATAGTGATTTGTTTTGCAGTTTACTTCAGAAGGATATTTCGTGGTCTTTTTGCCAGTTCACTAGCACACTGCATTTTGTTTGTGGTACTGATTGTGGGCTTAGTAATTTGGCGATTACTGCTTCAAGCCCCTGAAGGGCCCAACCTGTCAGTATCAGGAACATCAGCAGCTTTGTTAATGGGCAATATGTCGATTTGGGTTAAAAATTCTTACAAAGCATCATATAGTAATGTTCCCTGATGTTTACATCACATCCTGTTTGCATTTGTCTGACATTTTTCTTCAAAGTGACTTGCAGTAGAGGGAAGGGTTACAAATTATGTATGGTGCCCGGGATTCAAACCCATGGCCTGCAAAGTCCTACTTGATTAAATACAGGAGCTTAAATTTTGTCAGATAACTATGGTCTAATGAGCCTGGGTTTTAATAGGGAAATCTAGCTGATGTTCTAGTCATGTTTTTGTGAGCTCATGGGAGTTTTACTTACACAAAATGTTCTGAGGACAGAACAATAAAAATGATTGGTTCAGACATAACCAATCACATCTTTGTCACGTCTCAGACCAACCAATCAGATGTCTTGGTCCTGCCTCCTCTAGTTCCTTGGACTCTCCTGCTCCACAATCTGGTTTTCTGTCTGAACCAATCATTTTTCATTCTACCCTCAGAACATTTTTTAATTTTAGAAACTCTAACAAGCTTTTTGTGACTAATAGCTTGTGGTGTATCTGAAAGTGTGCACATACCCTGGCCGGTCACTGAGCTCCTGTGTCTTCCACTTGCTAGCTCGGACTCTGTGAAGCAGCGGACGGACGTCTTCTACCTGCAGCCCGAGCGCTCATGCGTGCCCAACAGCCCCCTGTGGTACTCCTCCCAGCCACTGGAGGGCACCACCATGGAAACCATGCTCACGCGAATCCTCACCGTCAGAGAAGTGCACCTGCAACGTGAGCAGGGGGAGGCGCCAGCACCGCTCTCTGACAATGCCGCCTCTGAGTGACGGAGAGCAGGGCCAAGACTGTGCAGGAGGCAAAATAAAGAGAAAAACACTTCAGAGACCAATACATAATCACACACGCAGCAGTTTATTTATTCACATTAACATGAAGCCGCTGTGACGACACACCTGACAGCGTGATGGTCCCCAACACAACCACTCATATTCTGATCATGGGTGTTTTTTTTTGTTTTTGTTTTTTTTTTAAGAATGAGGGAGGGGTTTTTTTTACTGAAAGTTGGTTTTCAGGACTCCCATCTCGGGGTGGAAGCTTACTAAATGTCTGTCAGTTGGACCTAGCTGTGAGTTATGGATGAATGGATGGATCTTAGTTGAAAATCAGTGTTTTTGTAAATTTGACCTGGTATTTCCACAAACAGCATTGCACAGTGCTGGGTGGCTTTGGAATCTGCATGAATCTCTGGATGATGCTGCTGCTGTGGAGAACGAATATGGTAATTAGCCCTTTTGTAGCCATTGCCTTCTACAAAATGAAATGTGAATTCATGGCGGATCCAAGTGGGAAAACGGGGAAGTATTTAGGTTTAATGGCTGAGCATTATATCCAGCTGTGTCCAATAGTTTTCCCACTGGGATTCCATTTTATCACAGGAAAACGGTGAGAGTCACAGGTTGCATTCTTGTACCAAGGTTGTCCTGCCCTTGGTTTTCACAACTTAACCCGTGTAATAAAATGGAAGAGAATAGGCCAAGCCTGCCACAATTCCAGCCCTCCTTGGACAGGAATGAGCAGCACTGACGGTGCGATTGTACGCACTACGTGCACGGCGGCTGCGAGCACGTGCGCAAAACGGCAGCGCGCCCTGTCGGTACTGCTCCTAGGAGAGTGCATATGCATTAAGGTGGGACGGTGAGGTTGAAAACTTTTGTAATTTTTTTACATATATAAAACCGCAGTATCAAAACCATTGGTCGTCGGCCTACCATTTTTTTCCATACGGTGTCTCATTTAATTTCTACAGACTTAATTTCTGAAATGGACATGCCGCCGTATGCCCACCTAATCACAATTTTCTGTAACTTTATTAAGTTGAAGTAGGAACTGAGAAGCCCAAGATCGTTGCGGTCTGTTGCGCAATAATGGACTAATAACGAATCAACCTACATGCTCACTCAACACAAGGTCCTCACAGGGGTATTAGTCTTGTATACATAGCAGAGAATTAGGTCGATATTAGCCAGAGAATACTCATTCCAATTCCATATTTGCCAATGAAACAAGGGGGTGATCACCAAATTCAATATATAAAAAATATATCAGGTTCTCGATAAATTTAGCTTCGAACGGTTCTTAAGTCTGTAAAGGACGGGATTCAATTCAGCCTCTTTTAGTCGTACTGTTAGACAATTCTCAGAGACACTGCTAAAATACCATCGCTACACGTAGCTTGTTATTGTACCGGATGAAATACCTCTAGTAAAGGAATTGACCAATGACAAGTTAAAAAGAAAAGGATGTTCTTGTCCGATAGTCCTTCTGACGTTCTCTCGACAGAGAGCCAATGAGGATGAAAGTCTTTTTGACGGACAAAACATCAACGAATAAGAGGTCGAGCCTCTGGCCGGGGGCGGGACCTGGAGTTACTTGCTGGTGTGCAGAATGGATTGTCGTTCCTGGTTCGCGGCGTTTGGTCAGGGCAGAGTAAGTTTCTTCTACGACTCTAAGTGGCCATGGCTCCCACCGTGCAACTCAATGAAGCAGTTTCCGACGTCCGGAAAGGGATCCGGGCTATACTTCTTGGGCCCCCCGGTGCAGGCAAAGGGACGCAGGTAAGTCAGTAAGGGAATGCAAGAAGTATTGCGTCCTACAACCATGAGGCTACTATCTCACATATATTATCGAGACACGTTTGGTAAAAGTCTCATAAAATTCTGGTTTTAGTTGTACATTTATACAACTTTCAACACATATTGCAGATTTGAACAGATGTGTAGACTGTTTTTGTTGCAATAATATACAGAGAGATAATGGTAGTTTACATTTGACAGGGGAAAATGTCCCCGTGAAAGGTTCTCTATCAGGCATTCTGATACCATACACCAAACCGGAACTTAATTTAATTACATTACTTTTTTATTGATCGAGACAACTTTAACCTTTGCGCGATTAATAAGCTTAGTCAGACATCGTTAATACGAGTAATAAATGTTCCACTATATGAATGCTGTAGTGTTTCATTAACTCCTTGTGATTTTAATCGGATTCTGGTTCTTTACAGTGGATTTCTGTTGTACAACCAGCTGACTTTTGACAGCTTTTTATCATTTAATACTGTAGTATAACATACAGTATTAACTAGAGGATCCAAATGATGCAATCCTAAGCAAATTCACAGCTTTTCTCTGCATCTCTGCTAAGTCGCCACTCTGTAGCCTTTTACTGGTTCAAACTGTTATCGTGATATGAATTTCATCATCTCTGTCCAATGAACTGCTGTTTGATTTCTCAATCCTGATTCTTTCTGTGCTGACCTGTTTGCCACAGCAGCTGTACCCTCTTTTGGACGTGAAGGTGCCCTTGTTACTGATTAATGTTCAGATCTGGGATCCTTGGTGCACGATATCCGCTCGCACGCTCATTGTGCTCTGCACAGGAGCCCCTCCCCCATGTCACATGACTGACACTGTGACCCCGCTCCCCTTTTTTTTTTAAAACACAGGCCCCCCGTCTGGCAGAGCGATACTGTGTCTGTCACCTGGCAACAGGTGACATGCTGAGAGCCATGGTGGCGTCTGGCTCTGAGCTTGGCCAGAGGCTAAAGAAGACCATGGACGAAGGAAAACTGGTACTGACAGCGATTAGGAGTATGTGTGTGTGTGTGTGTGTGTGTGTGTGTGTGTGTGTGTGTATTAGGTCTATCTGCAGGCCTGGGTTATCCACCCAACATCATATGCTCATGGTTGTACTTTGGACATGTATTTGTAGGGTAAATATGAGTTGTTTGTTGCAGCTTCCTGACACCTCCCTGTCTGTTTTCTTTTTTTTGAGCGGTGACATCAGAACTGACTGTCCACCTGCTCCCGTTTTCCAGGTCGGTGACGAGATGGTCGTGGAGCTCATTGAGAAAAACCTGGAGACTCCTCCCTGCAAAAACGGATTTTTGCTGGACGGCTTCCCCCGTACGGTCAAGCAAGCAGAGATGGTGAGTAGCTATGAAAGATGATCGAGTCGGATACTGCTGCCAAGCTGTGCTGAATTCGTGACCGTGAGGCTGCAGGCATCCCTGTCTTCAGTGCTGGCTATTTCTTAGCTATGGCCCTTTGCAACAGACTGAAGCAGGATTCTGTCAGGGTGCTGCTGCTGGTTGTTATGTGATTGCAGCATGTGGTAAGGTAACGGTGGCGGGTCGGTGGGAGGCGTGTCAGCGGTTCTAGGTGCACGTCCAAACGGTAGAAACAAAGGAAGTGACATTCTGATTCTATTTCACCATCAGCTGGATGAGCTGCTGGAGAAGCGGGCGGAGATGCTGGACTCCGTGATTGAGTTCGCTGTGGACGATTCGCTGCTCGTGCGCAGGATCTGTGGAAGGTGAGGGTGCAGTGCAGAGTGTGTGCGGCCGTTGGGTGTCATCACTTTATCTGGGTCACCCCGGCTCTGCGTGTGTGGAGTTTGCATGTTCTCCCCATGTCATCATGGGGTTTCCTTCAGGTTCCCCGGTTTCCCCCCACAGTCCAAAAACATGCTACGGTGACTTGGAATTGCCCATAGGTGTGAAGTACGAGTGGTGAGTGTGCCCTGCCATGGGCAGGCACCCCGTCCTGGGTTATTCCCTGCCTTGTTCCTGTAGCTTCCAGGGTAGGCTCCAGAACCGCTGCAACCCTAAATAGGACAAGCGGGTATACAAAATGAAAAAACAACCATCCATCCATCCAACTGTAATGGAGAATAAAAGCTGATTTATACCTCTGTGTCAAGCCTATGCCGTCGCGAGTGTTTATATTTGTGCACTGGTGTTTCTGTCTCTCGGCAATCGCCGCCAAAACGCGAAGTGTTACATATTTTTGGATGTTGCATTTATTGTCCTCCCACCCTGCGATATTTTCTGTTGTTGGACTGCACAATTGAAACATAAAAAAAAAAAAAAACACGTTTAACAAAGTATCCATTTATCGGGTCCTGGTTATATCTGTGCTGCTCCAAACTTCCCGTAGACAAATTTGGAAAAATACTGAGCTGCTACAAAGTCACTTCTATGCATTTTCCCTTTTAAAGGTAGCGTCTATACCGCTTTTTACTATTTTAGTCTTGTAAAGTATGAATAAACTTAATGGATGTAAGTGAAATTGCCGCTGCCATCCTGAGTGTTTGTAGACCTGTTGCTACGATGCCTGGGGAGGGTTATTGAATGCTAGATATAAATAGGGTTTCGGTTTCAATCAGCCATACAAGCCCACCTGGGATGTACACTCCGCTCCCATAAATAAAGGAATGCTAAGAAGCGGACTAATCATAGTTCTTGTCTGTGTTGCTGTAATGTGTGGTTACATTTCCGGGGAGGTGCGTGTCAGGCTATGGCGTAGGGTCAACGACAATGCCGCCGTACGTACAGCGTTGATTCAATGCAGATGTACAATTCAGCCTTAAGGTTGAATAGTCAAGAGGGGGGAGTACGAACAGTCACCGAGTGAAAATGAGCAGCTGTTACCCAATTTGCTGACCCGCTGTGCCCCCCCCCCCCGCAGGCTAATTCATCAGGCGAGTGGCAGGTCGTACCACGAGGAGTTCAACCCTCCAAAAGTGCCAATGAAAGATGATGTAAGTTTCACTGCTCGTCTGTGCACGGGTGTGTGCGTGCATGCACGGCGTCTCACTTTTTGCCCCCAATCCCATGGCAGGTGACGGGCGAGCCACTGATCCGCCGCAGTGACGATAACGAGGTCACACTGCGCTCGCGGCTGGAGGCATACCACAAGCAGACGGCACTGGTGGTGCAGTACTACAGTGGCCGGGGGCTGCACCACGCTGTGGACGCTTCCCAGCCCCCGGACGTCGTCTTTGCCTCCATCCTCGCCACCTTCTCAGCTGCTACCTGTAAAGACTTGGTGCTCTTCATATAGCTCCTCCTCCTGCTTCTTTTCCCTCTTTGATCTCCTCTCTCCCTCTGATTGGTCATTACTGCTTCCCGAACTGGGACCTAACAGTGTGTGGTTGGTTGCCGTTTTTCCCCGCCCTCTTTGGAGTTTCGTGGGACACCCTCATGTCATCCTGCATGGGATCACCCGTGTGATTTTGCTTTCAGAATGAGAAACCAAATCAAAATCCACGCAGACAAACATGACCGGTCTGGCATCCTGTAGATATGGCTGTTTGTGATGTGGTACATTCAGAGACATGACTTCACTGACGTTTGTGAAACGTTGATAGTTCATTGGTGTGTTGAGCAATGGCAGAATTCAAAATTATGGTATCTTCAAATTAAAAGCTTTTCAGTGTAGAGAACCCCTGTAGAAATGTATTTATTTAAAGCTTAAATTCAACTGGTTTAATCTTTTAACTCTGTAAATCAGATTGCATGTATTCCCTTTATCGATTTCTGTTTCTCTGTCCCTTTGTTTAGTCTTCAACTACTTTTTGCTTATAGTCACTGTAACGGAATTCAGCCAACAGTTACCTACTCATGTTGCAGTTGGCTTATTTTTTAAATTGACACATGGCTTTTCCCCTTCATTTCAGCTGTTTGAATCCCAGTTTTCCACGCTCAGTTCAATCCTGGACTCTGGAGAAGGGAGAAAGCGGGGTGGAGGGTGATGCGGGGGTGGCCGTACTATTTACTTCTGCTGGCACTATGGAAAAAGCAAATAAACATGTCATGAGGTGGATTGTGTGTATTACAAATAAAACACATATTTCTTATTAAAGACATTGCTAGGGTGCTCACTGAATGCTCACTGATCTTCCCTGATCGCTTGGATTTGTATTTGAAGATATTTAGTGTGGATTTTAATTATGAAATAAGTGACCACTATCAATAACGTTAAAACAGCTAATTGTAGCTCACTGTTGCATAAGTTATATGCATTTTTGTAATTTTCCAGAGAAGGTCTTTCTGTTTTGCGCTGTGTTGTTAATGTGGCACCACTACCCATACATGCACAGTCATAGCGCGCTTTCTCAGGCTGGGAAGTGCCGCGAGCTCCGTTAAAAGCGGAACGCCCGCGAGTCAGAGGCGCGTGACGCCACAGGGTGGAGTTTCCGAGCAAAATGCGTGTGACGTCATGGGTTAGGGCTTTCCCTTCTGACGTTAGTGAGGCGAACAATCTGCGGTGATCGTCCCTACTACCCTGTGTCTCTCTTTTCGGGGAGCGGGGCGGGGGGTTGCGGGACAATCCCTTGTATGTTAATTTTTAAGATTTACTCGAGTAATTGTTTGAGGAAGTCGGTCCTTTCCGCAGACGCAGGAATGGGTGGGGAATAATCAGATCTATAGAGGATATCAAAGAGGAGTGATTCTGTTAGCGACGCTCGCCTGTACGCTTGGAGGGAAACGGTGCATCACCGGTACGAGAAACATGATCTGCGTATGAGGTAAGTGGATCAATTTTGTAAAGCTGTAACGTGCCGCAGACATATCGTTGCAGTGATACATTTATTTTTTCCTGTTCGAATACTGTATACATATATGGCGTCTTTTTCACTTTCAGATTAGACGGAAAAATCGCGTACGTAAACACTGTTTTAACATACAACATCCGTGAGTACCAGCCCTTTCACGGACAGACATACCGATCGGATGAGGTTATACAGGCGAGAGCATTATATTCCTGTTGTGCTCCGTATCGTGGAGCGTAGTCTAATAGCGATATCTAGCAGTCATAATCACAAAATAAGGAACCGTCTTGGATTGGAAATGGATTTTCTCTCATTTTTGACCCGTCTAGAGAGCTTCTACCTGACAGGGTATGTGTGGTAGGCAACAGGACTACATGTGTTTCGAGTGTGTCCGGCAGAGCGGGGTTTATTGCCCATGGTTACAGGGCCCACCCTAAATCATTACTCCTCCGGCTATCCCTTATTTAATCATTGATTCCTGCTCTGTCTGTCTCTCTCTCTGCCTTCACATGTCCCGAAAGTGCTTTGTCGTGGGCACAGCAGTGAATGCCATTTCACAGAAGAGTGCCATGCTTGTGCCACCACACCCTGAGCTATCAGTATGTCCGGTCGGCGTTTGTCTTTTGTCTCCATTTATTTCTGGGCCCTTTTTCCCCCTATTATGCGAGTTTTAGGCACCCTCTCCCCCAGTCTCCCCCTTTTGGTGGTAGGGTGGTTGCCCGTCTCGTCATTTCTACAGAACAGGGAAGTGTATGGTTCACCAGTTCTCTTTTCCGTCAGTCTTGTCATGACAGGACTTTTCTACTGGAACGGCGAAGGCGCCTTATGTGCTGTGCCAAAGCAGAGCCTGTGTCTGCCTGCCCTCCTGCCCCCCGGCGTGGATGGCAACTGTGGGGAGCCGGTGACTGAGTTTGCCTGTGTCATGGGGGGCTGCTATGCTTTCATTCTCTGGGGGCTGTCAGATCGCCTTGCTCGCATTCTTATTTTCTGGTACATGCTTGGCGTGCTGGGGGGTTTTAAAAAACCAGGCCCTTAGATCATGGGGAAAAAAACAGGAACGTGTCAGAGTAAAGAATCCTCAGCTCCATGTCTCACCCCTGTGAAGGGGGCCGGTCGCTGAGGTTTCTGCTACATGAGAATAATCCGGGAAAAGGGAAATTAGGCTAGTTTCATTCCTGTACTTCTGTAACATCATTAAAATGTATATTCTTATAAACAAGCTGAGATCTTACCGTCGCTGAGACTGGGGCAGATTCTGGGGATCCAGGGTCATTTGTGGGTTTTCCCAGTTCAGTTTCACTCCTTGTCACTCCAGGGGAACTGGGCAGGTTTCTGAGAAAGCAGCCGCTCAGTCTGCGAGTCACACTTCTGTGTCATTCCCGTTGTTTACAGTTACATTATTTTTGTATCGGCTGGCTCTCGGGCCGGTGCCGGGTGTCTCACGGCGGTGGAGCGGCGCCCCAGGGCCTCGGGACTGCGTGGGGCAGTTGCCAGCCTCGTTTCAGTTTTAAAATGACTTCCTTTTATTTCTTTGACTTTCACAATGATAAGTGGCTCTGAGGTGTAAAATCAACCTTGAGGCCAAGATTCCTGGAATGTAATCGGCAGCCCTTGAAGTATCACAACTTATCTTAACAGCATGTTTATAATGGAATTTTATTTTGCTCCAGTATGTAAAGTGTATACGATAGGTGAGCTAAAGTTTGTCATTTTGTATTAATACATTTATCTGAGTAATATTATACACCAGGCAAGTAAAACAAGGTTTTTCAGACTTGTGGTCACAAGCAGCCAAATATTAAACTGTTTTGTCTTAGTGCCTGGTGTGGAAACAGGAAGTGGATGTCTGCGCTCTGTAAGTCAGACGAAGACGCTGGGAATGGGGAAAATGGCAGCCTTGGCAGAAAGGTGTCCCGTGTGTACCGCTGATAGGACGGCGGGTGTGTTGGCGGGGTCGGGGGGGGTCTTGTGAGTGTGCTGTCCACCCTGCTCTCTGTGTGTCGTGGGTCCATTGCCTGACCGCTACGGGGAAGAGGAGCCTGCGATGACTGTACTCTGGCAGGGGGGTAGCCCGAGCTGGACTGGGTGTCCGTCTGTTGGACGGCACGCCTTCTGTGGCACGCTTTGTGAGCCCATCCTGTGCTGCCTAATTCCTGCGCAAAGCCCCGCCCACTCTGCTCTTTCCTTGGAAGCTGAATGACTGAGCGTTTTGCCGGCTCTTCTCAGACATACCTCGTAGATGCCTTAAGGGGGGGGGGTGCTGCTGCTTCATTTCCATCGAGGGGGCGGGGGGGACAGCTGGGCCGGGCGTTTACCTCCCCACCCCTGCACTCCCCCCCCCACCCACCCACCCTTTAGCGAGCTCATGGTCGCAGAGGAAGTGCGAGTTGTCGACAGGTGCTGTTCGGCGAGCTCTCACACGCATGCATGATGGACAGGAGTGTGTCTGCGCGTGGGGGGCGGCGCAGGCTGTCTCAGCCGGGCGCTGGAGCTGCACGGAAACCATGTGACGTCCGCTGAGAGCTTTCTGTCACAGCACGGCCACAGGCACGAGGAACACGCCTCGGAACGCCAGTCTGCCAGCAGCGTTGTTTCATATCTGACCTTCGCAGACGCTTGATGCAGGAATGTAGCTCAAACATCACCGCGTGTCACCACATGATATGTGTTACCGGCACGTTTCATGGTATATCCCCGTTCTTACCTTTTCCATACCTGGGCACACTCAGCACCTTCCGTCCGGATTCTACCCCCACAGAAACACCTCACTTTGTCTCCACCCGTATTTTTATTATGTTTTAAGTCGGCTTGAGGATCCTGGGATTAGAGCAGAATTCGACTCGGGATCATTTTGTTTGCCATGTACGAAAAAACACAAGGAGCTTGATTTTGTACTGGCACATGTGCTACCAGGACAAAACAATACACAGATACACAAAACAATAACTAGAATGAAGATACAGAGAGACATAGGGGAAAAAATGCGCTATGAATAAATAAGCCAGCATGTGTGTATGTGAGTAAGGGAGAGACGACGAGGCATGTGGCACAGACACAGGGTGTAAGATTTCATTAGATAAACATTATTGGTCCCTGGGGGAAATTCTTCAAATTCTAGGTTCTCCTGTCGCATTACAGAATAATTTCTGGCACAACAGCTTACTCCCCTCAAACAATGAAATAACCGGACAATCTAGAATGCAGGTGAGGCTTAAAGCAGAGCGTGACCCGGAGGGTGTGTGTGTGTGTGTGTGTGTGTGTGTGTGTGTGTTTATGTGTGTGACATTACAGCCCCACTCGTTGCGGCTGGGGTGAGGAGTGCAACATTAAACAATTGCAGTGGCTTTTACCCTGCTCTCTGGGAAGGGGGGGGCTGGTTACCTGAAAGTGACGCATTTTACGATGCTTATGTGAAAGCGAAAGCATACTTTATGCTCCTCTCTCTCCCTGCCTGCTCCTCTTCCAATCTGCTCCTCCCCCTGCCTGCCTGCTCCTTTCCCTCCCTGCTTCCCCCTCCCCCTCTCCCTGCTCCTGTTTAATACTGCCATTTGTTCCAGACAGAAGCCACTTCCGCAGTGATAGGGCAAGGAAATCGGGACACATCTGGACTGCAGTGTGTGTGTTTTTGCGCGTATGTATGTATGTGTGTGTGTCTGTGAGTGTGACACATGCCCTTCTGTGTGATGCTGACACACCGACACAGATTTGAGCCTCTGATTATCCTTAGGGCCCCCCCACCCTGGCTAGTATGTGATATGCATACACACAGGCAGTCGATGGTTTACCTGTATGAAGTGTTTTCTCTTTGTGTGTTACTGTGTCTGTGATTTTTTTAGAAGCCAGAGTACGTCCGTTAGCCAGAGAGTCTGTGTGTGGGTTCTTGTTGTTTGTGATGCTCATAGTGGGGATCGTCATGGCAACGGCAGTGGCGGCACAGTGTGAAGCAGTGAGGGGGGAGCCAGCTCCTGTCTGTGTGTCTGTATCCATATCTGCGCGTGTGGCTGTTTCTGTGCCCGTGCCCGTGCGTGTACATGTGAGAGAGGGCAAGGCAGCCGCATGGAGACAAAGGGAAAGGGAGAGTGCTGAGGGAGCAGGGGGCAATCATAGCTGTACCTAGGAGGGAGAATGTGTGCAGCCTAATTAACTTCCTCATTAAGCATTTGCACATAGTCCCCATTAAGTAAGGTGCCTCAAGCAAGATATATGTCTTTGTGTGCGCGCCGCTCCTCAGTCAGCGCCTCCTCCACCCAGCTCACCCTGAAATAGTTAATGTGAAACTGAGAGAGAGAGAGACTGGGCAGGCAGTGAC